TCAAAAAATTTTCTGGTATTTTCAAATAAACCTTGCTGGTCGTCAATTTTAAATAGCCAATCTTTCTTCAAATAATTTAAATATTTTTGGTTTCAAAACTTTCAATGCACTAATTTGTGTTGCTGCTGTTTTTGAAATTGAATTAACAGACATTGATATTTTATCAATTTCTTCCTTAAATTAATCATAAATGTATTTATCTTTTTCAAGAAGTTTTATCCATTCTGAATAATCCATTAATGCTTTTCTATCGTTGCTTTTGACCTTTAAGCTCAATCGTAGCTTTCTATTTTTGCTATTAGAATCTGTATCAATTTCATAAGGAAGATGAGCTTCAGAGTCTTTCAAATCATTCGAATCTTCCATATACACATTCCCAGTATTATTACCAATTTTTTTATTCCCTTCAAATTCAAATCTATTATTATCTTCAATATTATCATTTTCTTTAAATTTAAATTCATTATTTTCTTTGTCATTGTCCACATAATTTACAGGTTCATACCTATCATTATAATTATATCCGTCCGTTTCATCTAAATCATATAAACTAAGTTGTTTAAACTGGTCAATGAAAGTGAAGTTTTTGGGTGTCGTTTTTGGATTCTCCATGCTATAATCTTCTTCCACATAAATATAATTACGTAAGGAAGTGCCTTTAAGAAGGTAAGATAAATCTTTAATATCCAAGTTTAATTTTACTGCATAGTCAACTAATCCATTCATAATCTTTGGACTGCAGTTTTCATTTTTTTCTTCTAATGCCAATTTCAACTCTTCGTTTTCTTTTAGTACATTTAATGTTTTTTCGAAATTATCCTCATTCAAACTTAACCATTCTTTATCGCCACCTAAAGGATTGCCTATTGAAAAAACTAGACCAAAAGTAATGCAATATAAGAATAAATTTAAAGATGCTTTTAGATAATCTTAAACCCTTCATGTTGCATTTCTTAGAGCAATTATTTTAGACAAAGAACCTTGTTCATTTAGAATTTTAAATGCTAATAAATTAGCTATGTCTTTGACCAATTTAAATATGGACTTTATTTCATTTCCTCGTGATTTAAATTCTTTTAAAACTTTATCTATATTATTGGCATCATTATCGTTAAGTATATCAATGATGTCTTCAAACTTCAGTTCTTCTGTATTATAGGTATTAGATTCAGTAGTTGAATTTTGCTTTTTTTTTCTTTTTTAGGCATGGATTTTGATTACAAAATTTAAAGTATAAAGCCGCAAAAAGCAATTGTCTTGGTATGTCAAGAATTTCTTGGTTAAGCATGCTATCAGAAAATCTCATTTCTATTAAATGCAATATATTAAGCAATTTATTGATGATACCGTCTCCTGTTTGTGAATTTTCACTAATTCGTTGAATTGCGTTTTTTTCGCTATAATAATCAGATGGATTTTTCCATGTTGACAAAACATAATCAATATAACTATTAGATATATCAATCGCAGAGATAATTATTTGAACTGTTTTTGGCTGATCTTTCAATATAAGTTCATAGACTTTTTTTTGATCTTTCTTTTCAACTTTTTTACTTGCAACATTTTTTTCATTAAACTTTAATTTGACAGTGGTGGAAGCTTTGTTAAGAAAGTAAAGTTTAAATTTTTTTTTTAGTTTTAGGAATTCAGCATCAATATAAGTATTATGAATTATTTTTAAAAGCTCATATAAATAATTTAAATTAATATCATCTCTCGAATTAAAAGTTTCAATAATAAAATTAAATTTTTTGCTTAAATCATTAAACATTTTTTGGCTACTTTTTGAAAATTTATCAATGGTGTTTTCTTTAGGAATTTTTATGTAAAAAGACAATAGAGGATTGCAAATAATATTTTCCTTGTCTCCAAAATTATAATCAGTCCTTTTTGTTTTTTCTTTTTCTTTCTGCGCTTAGCTTTAGTCTGTTCTTTGTCATAATTGTCATAAAAATTACCCAATGCTTCAATTACTGATGTGAAAAATTTGTTTTTGTCTTCCTTTTTCTTTCATCATCATCCGATAAATCAGTGTTATTTTCATCTGATGAATCCTCTTCATTTTCATCGCTCTGTATATTATCATTTTCATGATATTCTTTTTTTATAAACACATGTAGTTCTATTTCAATATCTGTCTTTTACTTAATTTGTTGTTTGAATTTCTATAGTTTTTGTCTACCAAATTTAAACTATACATATTGTCGTAGTGTTTCTTAATGCCCCATGTACTTGTAGCGGTACCCATGTGACTGGTGATCGGGTACGTGATCGAATATTGTGATCGGGGATATGCATGATCCCGATGTCTAAAAATAGAATTGCATAAACAATGTAGTAATAGAAGCGATTAGTATCGCATGAACAATGTAGCAATTAATAGCGATTAGTAATTAATATGTAATTGCATGAATAATGTAGTAATAAAATATGTATTAGTAATAATATATAAGGTATCGATCCAAATAGGGGAGATGCCTAGCTTTGATTCTTCGTGAATAATCTTAGTTTTGCTTTGTGAATAAGCTTCGTGCTTAGTGAATAAATCGTATACCTGTATGAATACATTATAGGTGGTAGTATCTGGTACGATATTCCAGTCTTCGCGTATCTGCCAAGTGAGTGAAGTTACATAGTAAGATCGACGATTACGCCGTAGAAAGGAAAGCTACGCGACACATATATTTATATAAATTTTTAATAAGTTATTTTTCATAAATTTCGATTAAATTTAAATAATAATACATGATAAATCAATTGAAATTTATATTCTTTTCTAATTTAAAGGTTTTCATTTATTTAAAGTATTGGAATTACTAATGATAAAAATTTTAGTGTCAGCTTATAAATTTTAATTTTAAAAATTTAATTGTAAATTAAAGGATTCCATGTCATATATTTATTGACAATTATTAATCAAAATTCTTGATTCAATTATCAAAATTGGATTGATTAAAAACGCCAAGTTTATATGCAAAAATTTTCGTTTTTTTTTTCCTTTTAACCTGCCTGTTAAATTTTGTAGATAATTTACTTTTTAAATAATTAATTTAATGGTAAAACCAATCTAAAATTTTCTATTAAATAATAGAAAATCGTGTGGTTTCGAACCAACGCCAAATTTTTTATAGATTATCATATTCTTCTTCGTCTAATTAAAGTATTCAATTATTAACTTCAATTATTAACACCTGGATTGTTAAAGAAAAAAGAAGTATGTTACCAGTGTATATTTCTTTAACTTCTTCATCATCAATAAAAGAATCTGAGGTGTTATAATTATCGTATTCTGAATAATCATCAATTTCACTGTCATCATCTTCGATTTCTATTTCGTCATCTTCAATTTCTATGGCAGAAAGAACTAATTAATTTAAGTCTCATAATTAACTGCTACCATATTTTCGCATAATGTTCATGAGTAAAATCGTGCTCTATAAAAATAATATATATGATTTCAAAATAACGCTCATGTGCGTCCCAAAATAGCGCACACCTCGTAGTAAGAGATTTTAAATTTCTTTGTAACTGGATTTAGTACTAATATTCCTTCGAACTTCTGTTTTTTTAGAACAACTTTTGTTAAATCTGTAGGAAGGTTTACTTAGTACTAAATTTAGTTTCAAAGCATTTTTGTATGTTTATTTTTTATACAAGAATTACTTAAAACTTTTTAGTTATCTTCATACCCGTACTCGAAATTACGCGCGGGTGAGCGTTAATTATACAAAAATATGGTAATTTGTTTAACAATTACTTTCATATAATATTTTATTCTTTGGTTTTGTTTCTGTATTATTTGAATTGCCAAAAAGGTTGCCCACAGATTAGATATAGCTTTGAACTCTTGTTTTTTTTTTCTAGACGTGTTTCTTTTTCTAATGATTTTATTCTAACAAAATGGTCTATTATTTCTTAATAGCAAAGGATAGTACTAGTGCTACCGTAATTTTAACACGACATGTCGGACATTTTTTTTGTTTTTTGAACTGCAAATAATAAGTTTAATATATTACAAATTGCCAATTGAAGTTTACTAAGTATTAGTTAGAGAAATACTTCATATCCACTTATAAAAATGTATGACCACATGAAATGGTACAAGGATTTGACATATATTCAAGACATATAGTGCACTTTAATTCAAACCTATTTACATTGGCCTC